CAATAGCTTGACTGCTTGGCTATGGTTCGATTGGGGTGGAGCCTCAGGAGTAGAATGTACAACAGAAGTGGAAGTTGAAGGGATTGTCGATCTCAAAAGGGTGCTCATGTCGTGTAATTCGGTTGAAGATGAAGAGAGTGATGACTTGAAGAGGGACCCAATGTCGTGTAGTTCGGTCAAAAGCCCATCTACAATCTCGACACCGCTGCGTTTCTTCTTGCGAACCAGGTTACGCTCCTTCAGTGCCACCGCAGACTTACCATGTCGATTTCCGGCTGGTCCTTCATCTGAGCTAGGATCCTCTTCAGACTTAGGAACGTCCGACTTAGGATGGGCAGGATCTTCAATACCGGGCAAGTCGGATGTGGAAGAGGTTGGTGAGAGGGAGTGGGTGGTAGCTGGGACGTGCTGAATAGTTGAAGTCGAAGGAGCTGGAGGGGGGTCGTCGGGCTTCTTGATCGAGGTTTTGGTGTACTTGGCAGTGGCTTTATGGCCCTCCAATAAAGGCGCCAGTTCGCTGAACAAAGGGAAGGGCCGGCCTTTGCATCGGGCGTAGTCTTTCGCTTTCTTGGTTCCCTGAGAAAAAGACAAAAATCAGTTTGAGAAAAGCAAAATGATGACAATAATAATGAAATTTACTTACATTCTTACTTTTGGCTAGGATGGGTGCCCAGACCCCCTCAGGAAGTGTGATACATCCATCTTCCCACCCAGCTCCACTAAGCCCGTCCAGATGTTTATAGTCGGCATAGAGGCCTCGTAACTAACAAGCAATCCAGGAATTCATATAAAAAAGAAAAAAACAGATTAGTTTGAGAGTTTTGTAACTAACAAGTAATTGAAGAGTTCATATAAAAAAGAAAGAAACAAAGAAAGACTCATTTGAGAGTAGACACGGTGGGATGGACTTGAATCCTGTCAATCCCCATCCCAAAACCATCAGGTTAACCGTGAGGAGCTGGGAAGGTGGCAGCCTGAACCTGTCAGTGCGCCCCAATTTCCCAGCTTGAGGGATAGAGTGGTGGAATAGAATTGAAAGTGTAGAAACTGAAGAAATGAGGAAATGAAATTATTATGAAAAACTTACAACATACCACCTGGACTTGCAGTTTCCTACCTCTTTAGTGTGACTTAGGTAAACAAGACCATCAATAACTTTCCTTTCACTCCCTGCAAGTGCGGTGACACAGGCTTCCCAAGTCGGAATTTTGAAGCCATGAGCGGTCGTAGCGTTCTCAGGTCCAATAGGTTTTCCGTCAGCTGGCTGGCGTTCAGCAGTGAGAACATCAATCATGATTCGATTGTCATTGTCGTCCCAAGTTACATTCGGAATGATCTTGTCAGCTTCGACGGACTGGGTGGTAGGCTGGGTAGCAGCAACACCCAAACCCCGCCGCAGCGCGGCGGATTTTGGGTTCACGGAGGCAGAGGTGCGATCAAGCCCAGTTTCAAGGCGACCTCACCGCATCGCTACCACAGTGAGAAAAATTCTCAAGGGGACCGCGGCACGCTTGAGACCATCGCAGCGCGCCGCAGACTGGGTTTTTTTCACTAAATTTGAAAAAAACAAATGGCCGCCAAAAAAAAGTCCAAGCTTGCTTTTAACAGACAAAGTGGAAGGATTCATAGCACAGAATGCATCTGAGAAAGAATTTGAGAAAAGAAAATTCAAGACAGAACTTGAATTTGAGGAGGACAGAGGAGAAAGTTAAGTGGAAAGGGGATTTGATCAAAGGGGTGATAGGATTGGGAGATTGCTAAAGGCCTTGTTCTGTTCTATTACCAAGGATTCAACTCTGAGATAGTGCTTTGGAATCAATATTCTGTTTTGCATTCACTTAAAAGTTGATAAAAATCGATCGATCAAGTTGAACCACTGATTTCCACTTAAACCTTTTACAAATTCTCTTTTTTTTTGGTTCCCTTCATCTTGATTGATTTTCACCACTTTCCAATCACATCTTTGATCGATCCTTTGGTTTCATTCTTGAATGAATTCATCAAACATGTTCTTTGATCTATTGGTTAAGTACAGCCTTTGATCAATTTGTTATACATTTCTGCATTGGTCCGTTACTTTTGTTCTTGAATTGATCTGAACCTCTTCTTCAACCAAAAGACGTTATTAGTATGACATCATTGGCTTTTAAATCACCAATTGTATCAACTTTCCTCAGTATGATTCAGTCCAGTTGATTAAGTATACATCACTGATTGCCTTATATGGTGAAAAAATATCTAGATAGCAGGAAAATCTCATTCAACTATCTTATTTTGCTCTTTGAGCCAAACTGGGCCCCTGGGTTCCCCCTGGGGTCCCGTCAATGGGGCAGCGGCGGGTCGGACCCCAGTAAAAACCGGGACCCGGCGCGCTTTTATCCCAGTGCCACTTCAGTAGACTGAGGGTGCGGCGGGACCCCCGCGCTGCCCCAGTTTTCCGCGGCGGGGTTTGGGTGTTGCTACTAGTGAGTTGAGGATGAATGAAGAGAATTGGATCGAGTAGGGAACTGATAGCAAGTTGAGGATGAATGAAGAGAATTGGATCGAGTAGGGAACTAATAGCAAGTTGAGAATGAATGAAGAGAATTGGATCAAGTAGGGAACTACTAGCCAGTTTTGATAGGCATTTAGAGTGAATAAAAGACTTGATTGGATAGAAAACCAATAGCGAGGTTCGATAGCCAGTTTGATGAACTAGCTGAGGAAGGAAATCGTGAGGAGAGCTGAGCGAGGGAATGAGGAATAAAAAGAGACGTTGGAAAGGGGGTGTGCGGGTATTGAGATTAGGAGAAAGGGGTGGAAGAAGGAGATGGATTGGGGCAGGGGCAGATAGAGATAGAGGGGGTAGATACAGCCCAAAGGCTGTATCTGTATTTGGACGAATATGTGAAGATGTCCGATGACATATTGACTTCACATATTTGAACCGAACGGGTATGTAAAAGCGAGTATATGGGTCCAATCTGGTCCATATAATAAGGGTACTCAAAGTAAGTATGTACGTGTACATACTTTTTGCTATATACTTTTTTTGGCGGGGAAGGCGAGGCCAAAAGTATATTTTTTTTCTTTGTCCCCGCCAAAAAAAGTATGTAGCGAAAAGTATGTAGCGCTACATACTTTGCTTTGAGTACCCTTAATATATTGCTGTATGTAACTTTTTTGGTGTAAAAGTCGGTCACATAATATGTGACCGACCGAACCAAACGGGCCCTAAGATCTAAGCTATTTCGCAAATATATGCACCGGCCAGAAATTTCTGGTTACTCACTGGTGGTCACCGTGTGCCGAAATCCTTTTGGGCACACGAGTTGGTGGCAAATAGAGTTACATGTTCCCCGCAAGGAAAGAGATTCTGGGATTTGTAGCATATACTCCGAAAGGAAGTCTTTGAAATGCAAATTCCAAAGGCGTCACAATTTCTCGAGTTATCCTTTTCGCTTGCTGTAGCGAGAGTGATCCGTTTTCAATCAGGCTATATTGGAGTCAGACAATATCTTGTCGATCAAGTGTCTCATTTCATACTATGGATTGGGGTAGCACCGCAACCGTCTTCGATCAGCTCGCTTGCATTTCGGACTCAGTCAAGTCCTACCTGAAGGCCAATATCTTACATTGTAATGAAAGCTTCGACATTCACCAGATGCCGGACCTATCAGGTAATGTTTGAGGGATTGCTTTTGTTTATCTTCAATCAAAGGTCATATGGGGGAAAGTTTGTGAGAATGTGCCCTCGCAAGCAGCCCTACAGGTCAAAAAAAATCCAGGAAGGTTTAATCAAAAAAATGTAAATCTTCATTGATCTACGGCATACATATTACAGTCAAAACGGAAAAGCTTGACCAATTTTGCCCGCAAAACTCGAGCAATTTGGCGGGGAATTTGTGACAAGCTTTTCTGGTTTGACTGTAGTTTAAGAAATACATATCCTTGCTACTATCACAATAATGGAAAGTGTACACCCTTATGGAATCAATTCTACATATAATTACAACAAAGATTCATACAATACTATGTGCGTGGAAATTAAAAAAACATAAGCAAAAGAAATATTTGTACAAACGATTTTCTTGATCACGTGCATTAAAATTTATAATACCCTAAAATTATTAAAATATCCTCTTTTAAGAAACAATATTTATACCTTTTCCACCATTGACTTCTACAGATGCTGTGTTTAACTCTGAAATGTATCTAACAGCATGTTCAATATCAATCTGAAAGCAAGGACGATCAATTGGTAAGAGCGGAAAGATCTGATATTCTGAATCTGAATCCTTGTTACCGCTCTCTTCATCTTCGATTCCTAATAAACAGAATCACAATAACACAATCGCTCATTCAATTCTTTGTTGATAGTTATCAATAAAAAAAGAAAGCATACGTGGTTTATGTCCAACTAAGCTACCATCCACCTCACCTGTTCCAAAACCTCGAGCTGCCAATGCAGAAAAGACTGAAGAAGAACGTAACCCACAAAACACGATAGGTATGCAGTGTGATTGTTGAAGAGTTGCGAGTGCTTCAGCGGCAGTCGAATCGATCTCGACAGTAGAACTAAGATCTAATACTAGTCCGATCGAGCCTTCTTTGAAGATCAGATCATTTAGCTGATCAATGATCCGACTTGCATTTGCGTAAAACATCGGGCCTGTGAGTCTGGCTACTGAGATCACGGAAGCGTTGGTTTTACTATTCACAAGCCTGGGATTTGTGCCATCAATTCCAGAACTTGAAATCCATACGACCTCTGGGGTTTCTGTTTCACGACGCCAAACGGTCGCGGTCCCGAGCGGTTGGACGTTGGTATGTACAAGCCTGAATAAAACCAGAGTGTCATCGTGAAGATAGAAAGTGGATGTGTGCTTTTAGACTTGAACAAAAACAGTTTTAGAGGTACAATAGACCGACCTAAAGAGGAAACCAGCTAATGATGCAATCACAGTGGTGTAAATGCCAATCTCTGATATGAACAGAAAAATAAGTAAAATGACAAATGATCAGAAGGTAGGTGAATAAAGATATAGAGCATGTTGATGATTGAACCAACCGAGAGAGGTGAAGATTGCAACGAAGACTCCAACAATGAACAAAAATCCATCCCAGGAGGAGATCCTCCAGATTGTCTGATAAGCCGTGGGAGGCCAAACGATCAAATCCCATACAGCGTGAACGATGACTGCACTGATGGCTGCATTTGGTATATAATAAAATACGCCTGTGAGCTCATAGATAGCAAGTAGCACAAGAGATGCGGTGACGATTCCGGCAAGTGGAGTTCGAACTCCAGCTTTGGATTTGAGGGCTGTACGCGAAAAGGATCCAGTGACTGGATAAGCACCCACAAAAGGTCTATTGAATAGAGTGCGCTGAGTCTTTGGTCAGTATAGAGGACTGCAGGTCAACAGGTAGTTTTCGGATTGAGTTGCCATACCCAAAGATGTTAGAAATCCCGATGGCAATCAACTCCTGTGAGGGTGAGATGGTGTAATGGTTGATCCGAGCAAAGGATTTGGCTATCGAGATATGTTCTATGACTAGGACAATCAACACAGCAGGCAGATGAGATGCATAGGTTTTGATGACTTCTTTGTCAAGCCGAGGTGGACCGACGGTGGTGAGACCGCGTGGGATATGACCTAGGATGGCAATCGGTGGTGCGGCTTTGTGATGACGGGTGACTAGGTAGGCTATGAGAGTGTAGACCAACAGCACGAATATCGAACGCATTGCTACCAGTACATCTGTGCTCTTTCGGCCCATCCCTCCAAGTCGACATATAGGCGGAAGCCCAAATTTGATTGCATATAAGAAAGCCAGCGCGGTTATGCCGACAGCTGCTTCAGTGGTCGTATGTGGTAGTTGCTTCAAGGTATTGATTATGATTCGATAGGTTGCAGCGTGAGTGTCTAATCGGCGAGAGATTCCGAGCATTGTTGGCACTTGTCCTGCGATGATGCTGATGGCAGAGCTTGTCAAAAAGGCCGCGATGGCCGGAAGTGGGATCTGAAGAAGCAAGACAGATGAGCTCAGATCATAAATACTTCCAATGAAAAACATACATACAAAATCTACCACAAAGCCAAGCCTCAACAAACCTAAGGTGAAAATGATGCAACCCGATATCAAGGCGAGTGAAGAAGCCATGACGTGACCAGGTATGTTCGGTGAGGTTACTGCAGCTTGTCGTACGATTTCACCCATCAGTGAACTCATGACAGCCACAGGACCGATGGTGATATCCTTGGAGGTTGCAAACATCCTAGGTAAGTGAGAGCTTATCAGCATCAATATGTGCTTCTTCCAACTATTGAACACATGATGATGATTATTGTGATCTTTTTTCTCACCAGTAGATCAGAACACCCATGAATGAGCCGTAGAGTCCAAATTCGACAGGAAGTTCCGCTAGTTTTGCATAAGCCATTCCTTGCGGAATGACTACTATTCCGACAGTAAGACCAGCTACTAGATCACCTATGATCCAATCACGTTGATACTTGAACAACCAACTGGAAAATGGGAAAAAGGAACGCATCCAATCGAATACCATCCCTGCTGAGAGGAGGGGAAATTCACGAGGGTCCGGTTCGATGAAAGGTTCAAGTGCAGGCGCCGATGATCTCAATGCCTGTATCCGTCGATCTCGGTCGCTCGGCTCTCCGTCAAGTGGAATGCCAAGAAGGATGCGACGGACATGCTTGAAGGTGGTCACTGTGAGTTGTGCCATATTGCTACTGAGTGGGTTTTGGAGACTGTGTAACCACTAAAAACCAATATATCCTCGTTCTAAGCTTCGAAAGGAATTTGACCAGAACGATGGATGTAGAGATAAGAAACTTGAAATTATTAAATAGCTGTGTGCAGGAGATTTGGAGGGTGAAGTTCGCAAAGTAATTACGGATTCTGAGACGGTAGTCTAAAGAAATCGCAAATGCAAACAGAGCAAAGCAATAGAAGGAAAGAGAAGGAAAGGAGGATTGAGTGAGTCTTATCGTAAAGCATGAAGATGAGCTTCAAGTTCAGTGATCAATCGATATCACACTGAGCCAAAAAGTGATCTATAGCACGCCATCGACTGCTGCATAACTTTCTAAGATAAGTGATTGGTAATGAGTTTTCGCCTCATTTGACTGATCCAGAATACTCGAAGGCTTGTGCAGCTGAAGTAGCTGCTACTTGGGTAGCAGCTACTATCCACTACGCACCCCTTTCTGACACGCAGGCATCGGAATAGTCCAACCGTGAGACCTACACCAGTGTACAGCGTACGCAGACTCTTTATTCAGCAACCATCCACAAACAAATCCGTATTGAGCCTTCCCAAGCTTTTTGTTTGGCCGCTCACGAGTCACCAGTGCTCCACCCGTTCAAACTGAAAATGAGAACATCACATTTCCCATTACAAGCGGAAGCCTTGGAACGATAAAACTTGCTTCACTGATGTTATACATCCCATGCCCATTCACTCAAATTATGTTCACATTGCCAACTGAGTTCACAAAGATCATATGTATCCTTTGAATAGCTTTTATGGCACCAAAAGTCTCATTGACAAGATTGAATCAATCACCTTAAACTTATATTTTTTGAGGCTCGTTTGATCAAAATAGTTTCCATGTCATAAGCAAGGTCAGTATATAAGAGCTTTGCAGCGTCAACATTTCAAGAAAATCACTTTTGTAGTTCAGCTTAATTACAATCTAGTTGATTACAACTTCAACTTGTTTTATATGATCTGTTTAAGCTGTCTAATCCGTTTACTGAGTAAAATCAATGCATTAGGATTGATTCCCCCTAACCTTTCAGCAACTCCCATAGGGTCTGAGGCAATGGATAGATGTTGTCTGTCCGTACAAGCAGCAATCTGACCGGGTGTGGAGGATTGGTGCGGTGATTGTGATCAAATGTGCATTGGAAGGACGGTGAGGAGTCGGATGGGTGTTATTGACAACAAAGACGGATGGAGATAGAGTTTGGGTACTGTTTCTGAAAGGGGGGTGCTGCGTATTTTTTTTGGGTTAGAGTAGCAGAATTAAGGGGTTTCAAGTTTAAATCTTTTATACAATTTTTTAAAAATTTGGTCAAGTTTTATACAACACTGTAAGATTTTAAATTTGACTGTTTGTAAAAATCAAGCACGTCAAATAATTACTGTCGTAAAACAAATCAAAGCGGTGAACGTATTGTTCCAAGATTTGGCGACATTTCCTTTGAAGAGAATGACCAGATGGCCTTCTTGACCAATCTCATCTTTGATGACGTGGACAATACCATGATTGAAAAGGTCAAATCGTTGACCAAATGATTTTTAGAAGTGTACATTTATGCTAATTTTGGAACGGGAGACGTAAAAAGGTCTCCTGTTTTAAAAATATTTTACGTAAAATTTACAACTTCGTCCAAGTTTTTAAAACGTGAAAATACGGAAAATCTTGAACTTGAAACCCCTTATTGCAGTGGGTAGCTGTAGCCGCTACAAAGTTGCACAACCCTTTGGTGACTCCCGACTGATCTCACAACAAACGGAGTAAACAAGAGTGAACGAAAACCCAACCAAAGCATTAGCTTGAACAAGCCCTGTGTGGCCATGTCCGCGCGCCTCACAGAGGGGCTTGGGACTAATTGTGAATTCCTGGCACAGAGACTCCACGAGTTAAGTCCACTTATGTAGTTTTTTTCTCTTTCCCGCTTTCTTCACTGATAAAAACAACTTTACCTTGCAGGAAAAGTTGTTTGTATTTTTGTTCTACATGTGTTTCCATCTTGATATCCTGGTTATCACTACTTCATCACCCTGATCATGACTTCAGTTTTCAAGCTCTTATGTCCCATATGTAAATGAATGTACAGCCTGTATTTGCATCGTACGTGATTTAAACATAAGGATGTGCAAAACATTTGGTGAATTCGGCGCAGGCAGAAACTAGCATACAAAAAGCACTGAAAACAGACCACAATACAGGCGGGTGTTGTAAAAATGTTAAAGCCACATTTCTGGCCACATCAGATGGTTTGTCTACAATCTGAGGCAATGAGGATGTGTAGAAAAAAAATATGAACAACTCTTGCTGCAAGGTAAAGTTGTTTTTATCAGTGAGGAAAGCGGGAAAAAGAAAAAAACTACATAAGTGGACTTAACTCGTGGAGTCTCCGTGCTAGGAATTCACAATTAGTCCCAAGCCCCTCTGCGAGGCGCGCGGACGTGGCCGCGCAGAGAGGGCTTGTTCAAGCTAAACCAAAGCACGGGGCTCCCGACTACCCACTGTCCCATCACCAGATATCGCAGTGGAAAAGTGTCAGTCAGAGTGATTGATTTCCCACACTATACCCAAATAGAAACTCGTAATTACAGCCGTTTTTTAAAAGCTCATCCAAACTTGCCAGCAAAACTCGAGCAATCTAGTAGTGAATTTGTGACAAGTTTTTTTGTGAACAACTGTACTTTTTGATCACTGGCTCACTAGGACCTACTAGGACCCAGAAAAGCTCCTGTGGCCATGTCCGCTCTCAAAGAGGGGCTTATGACCAAAACCCCAAGTTTGGCTTGAGCACAGCAAAAATTTCAAGCACATTTGCTTGAATACCCACCATGAGGGCCCAAAACATCATGAAACCTCTCCAGAAATTGAGAAGATCTTCTTCAAGGTCTTCTGTGTCTCCTTGTACCATTTTTAGCATGTGAACAGTTGTTGACATGAGGATATTGGACTCCAAGATCAAGTGATGTTCAACAGTTTAATCATTCACAAGAACTCAACAACTCAACTGTGCAACTTTGCTCAAGTAAAGTGGTGCAAATAGTGACACAAGCATGTGTACAAGGCTTATAAGAAGCTCTGTTCATTTTATTGTGAGGTTACAAGATGTCTGGAGCTTTCACAATGGAATTTCAAGCAAAAGTACTTGAAAATGCTGTTGTGCTCAGGCCCAACGGTGAGTCAGCAGCGCAACTCTGCGCTACGAGGCATGCAACTTGTAGGGTAGCTTTATCCGCTATCGGAAATTTTCCCAGACGACTAGCGTAACTCTACAGGTTACGCTATCCTTTTTAGCGTAGATTTTTTGTACCTCGAACGCTATCCCAAACTGATAGCTTAACTACACCAGTTACGCTAGCGCTAGTTAGCGCGTTAACCAAGCTTCAAATCGAGAAAAACACTGACTAGACATGATATCATTGCCACCAAAAGATAGCATGTAGTAGGTTAAGATAGTAAGTATGTAAGACCTACGGTCATTACACAGACATAACTCACCAATCACTTAAATATTAACACTTATACTTAAAATGATTTCTCATATATATTATTGTTCTCAATTCTACGCTTGGTTCCTTAGCGATTCGGGACTGACTTCCCACCCCTTATCCTTCGGAACCAGGTAAGCGTTCATATTCTTTCTAGTGTTATCATTCTTTTCTTTTGATGCTTGTAGAGTGTTAGAGCGATTCGGGACTGACTTCCCACCCCTTATCCTTCGGAACCAGTCTCCTATACTGGGTATTCCGTTGATTTGAAATATAAGTCTCTCGGGTTCTAGAAACCTGTCCCGCTGTGTGTTCCACGGCGCTCTCTTTGTGCATTCCCGGTGAAGGTTCTAAGGAACCTTACAAAGTACCAACACAAAGACAGTAATAGAAAAAAGGTGAAAAGAAACAAAATCATGAATTGAAAATAAAATATTTAGAGGTCACATGAAATCATTAACTTTGATACATTCGACCACCTTGCTGAACTCGTTGCCAAGAGGCACCTTCTCAACCAGCCACATGTGAGTTGAAACGGACCGCTCAATGCTTATGGGGGTAAGACCGCCTCTGTTTGCAGAACATATGTCTGCGGCTGCCGAGAAGGTCCGCTCGGGTCCAGCCGATGAGCCTGAACATGCCAAGTAGTCATGAGCCATTCGCGCTATGATCGCAAACCGGCCATGGTTAACCTGAAGAGATGATGTTAAAATGTTAAATTCAAAAATCAGATGACATTTGGACCAGTGGAATCAAATAACACTCACCGACCACCAGCGAAGAGCCTCATTCGGGTTTCCCAAATCGTATTCTGGCTCCTTCATCCGAAGAACTGATTGGAAATAGTCCTTGACTTGGGAGTCATCACCAAGATCCTCCTGATCCTCCTCATTGTCGCTATACAAATCAAAAATTGCCGATGAAGGATTTGAGGCCTGAGCTGATTGATATGAAGGTGTATTACTTGGTCTCTTTTGAGTTGATCGCATCTGATACTCCTTGAATAATCGGTTAAAAGTCATTTCAGCATTTATGTATGTTGAAGAAGTCTTTTCGAAAAATCTCTCTAAAAATTTAAGTCAAAAAGCTGGGTGAAGGATTGTCGCCATTACAAGTGTTTCGCAAGCCAGGGCTTCATCTAGGTACCCTTGCAGTTTTGATATCATAGCCGCAAGCATCGGATAAAGTGCTTCGTTTGATGATAGTTTTTTTTCTCGATCTTGTAATCGTCGTCAAAGCTCGACATACTTAGGAATCACCATGGCCCCGGTGGGCATGTTGCCTTCCATCTGTTTCGTGGTGGT